AACAGGGCCTTAAAAAAACACCCAAAAAACAACGCCACTGATTTGGGGAACTGAGTTATTACTCTGGAAGGTTCTTTCAGTCCTGCGTTACAAGGAATAATCCCACATTCCACAGCATGTTGGGAAATACATTTAAAATAATATAAGTGAGGGCAAAGATCAGATCAGACATTGTGCAGAATTTACATAGGGCAAAAGAAAGGAAAGGAAGGCAAGCATTAAAACCAGGACAGAGAGAGACAATCAGCTTTGGTTTGGATTTTGCTGTGAAACTATGTTTTGCAGGGACATTTCTGGAAGGCTGAACAGTCTCTCCAGTGAAGGCTATAATCAACTGCATGGTGCAAATGGATACATTCCAATTAACTAGGGGCAGAGGCGGAAAACCAAGGGCCACAATCCCTTCTGGGCGACTTTCCCGAGGCCACAGGTTAGTGTTTGGTGGGGCCAGAGGCAGGACAATGAAGATCATGTTTGCCTTTGAACAGTAGGCTGGTTTCCACAGACATTCACACTCAGCTCTCTGTCCTCCATTTACACAAGGAAGAGGCACCTTCAGAGTCCAAGGATGCACCCCAGCCAAGCAAAAACCCTCAATGAGGGTGAGAAGTATTGCCAGTAAGTTTGCCACCCGTCGCTAGAAAAATGGGATGGGACCATTTTTGTGTGGGATGCGAAACACAAGAGCAGTCAAGTACAACATTCCTAGAGTGAACATGTTTACACATGGGGAGGAATGTTTGTCCAGCCAGCAGATCATAGAATCATAGAGTTGGAATAGACCACAAGGGCCATCGAGTCCAACCCCCTGCCAAGCAGGAAACACCATCAGAGCACTCCTGACATATGGTTGTCAAGCCTCTGCTTAAAGACCTCCAAAGAAGGAGACTCCACCACACTCCTTGGCAGCAAATTCCACTGTCAAACAGCTCTTACTGTCAGGAAGTTCTTCCTAATGTTTAGGTGGAATCTTCTTTCTTGTAGTTTGGATCCATTGCTCCGTGTCCGCTTCTCTGGAGCAGCAGAAAACAACCTTTCTCCCTCCTCTATATGACATCCTTTTATATATTTGAACATGGCTATCATATCACCCCTTAACCTCCTCTTCTCCAGGCTAAACATGCCCAGCTCCCTTAGCCGTTCCTCATAAGGCATCGTTTCCAGGCCTTTGACCATTTTGGTTGCCCTCCTCTGGACACGTTCCAGTTTGTCAGTGTCCTTCTTGAACTGTGTTGCCCAGAACTGGACACAGTACTCCAGGTGAGGTCTGACCAGAGCAGAATACAGTGGCACTATTACTTCCCTTGATCTAGATGCTATACTCCTATTGATGCAGCCCAGACTTGCATTGGCTTTTTAGCTGCTGCGTCACACTGTTGGCTCATGTCAAGTTTGTGGTCAACCAAGACTCCTAGATCCTTTTCACATGTACTGCTCTCAAACCAGGTGTCACCCATCTTGTATTTGTGCCTCTCATTTTTTGGCCCAAGTGCAATACTTTACATTTCTCCCTGTTAAAGTTCATCTTGTTTGTTTTTGCCCAGTTCTCTAATCTGTCAAGGTCATTTTGAAGTGTGATCCTGTCCTCTGGGGTGTTAGCCACCCCTCCCAGTTTGGTGTCATCTGCAAATTTGATCAGGATGCTCTTGAGTCCGTCATCCAAGTCGTTGATAAAGATGTTGAATAAGACCGGGCCCAAGACAGAACCCTGTGGCACCCCACTAGCCACTCTTCTCCAGGATGAAGAGGAACCATTGATGAGCACCCTTTGGGTTCGGTCAGTCAGCCAGTTACAAATCCATTGAGTGGTAGCATAGTCAAGACCGCATTTTACCAGCTTCTTTACAAGAATATCATGGGGCACCTTGTCGAATGCCTTGCTGAAATCAAGGTAGGCTACATCCACTGCGTTCCCTTCATCTACCAGGCTTGTAATTCTGTCAAAAAACGAGATCAGGTTAGTCTGACATGACTTATTTTTCAGAAATCCATGATAAACTTCCTGTTTCCTTCTAGGCTGGAACAGACTTCCTCTGCATGTGACTAGAGGTGGGTGTGGCCTCACCTGTGCAGGTAATGACAAAAGCACAGGGCTGGGCAGGGCAGCCATCTCTCTCTCTGTGACTACATGCATCGAAGAAGCAACATCTGCTTAGCCAAAGATGCCCTCTTGGCTTCCAGCCAAGAGAGGACAAAGGGACTGTCTCCTTATGAGATAGTTTCCAGGTGTATGTTACTTTTCTAAGCTAAGTCTGCCTTCTGGGATCCGATTGTGAACAAAATGTGAGTAAACTCTTTTTATACTTTTATAGAAGACTGTGTCGTGTCTTATCTTTTATGAGGGAATGAGGGGGAAATACCAGAACAGTTATTATAGAGGCTTTAGCGAGCCTGAGCAAATAATTCCGCTGTGAGTTTAAAAGGGGGGATGTTACTCTGCTAAATTGTGAACTTGTTTACCCAAGTTGGAAAGGGTATAATCAAACAACATATCCTCTCCTGCATCCCTGAACATTCCCACATTTTGAACAAAAGTGTCCCCTGCCTGGTTGCACTTCAAACAGGACGCCTTTTCCCCCTAGATTGAAGCTTGGCCAGCCCAAAATAGTGGTTGTGTCTCTGTTGGTGTGGCTGACAAGGAGCCCAAGCCGACATGAGCAACAATAGAACAAAAGGGGAAGGAGCAACCTCTTCTCCCTCCCTCATTCCTTCCCTCTCACTGGTGCTCAGCTGATGCCGCCAGTCTAGCATGGTGCAGGTCCACCGCTGCTTGGCTCCCTCCATGGCCCCAACATGATTTCTCCTCCTCCTTCTTGCCTCACCCTCCATGCCTGAGTATCTTCTGGCATCAGCATGGGCAAGAGGCTGGAGCTGCAGCTCACTTCGCCCATGGGAGCCAGCCATCTACCCTGGCACCTGCCCGTCTACGTGAGCCAGTGTGGTGTAGTGGTTAAGAGCGGTAGTCTTGTAATCTGGTGAACCAGGTTCGCGTCTCCGCTCCTCCACATGCAGCTGCTGGGTGACCTTGGGCCAGTCACACTTCTCTGAAGTCTCTCAGCCCCACTCACCTCACAGAGTGTTTGTTGTGGGGGAGGAAGGGAAAGGAGAATGTTAGCCACTTTGAGACTCCTTCGGGTAGTGATAAAGCGGGATATCAAATCCAAACTCCTCCTCTTCTTCTTCTTCTTCTTCTTCTTCTTCTTCTTCATCATGGGCTTTGGTGACTCTCGAACTCAGGACGCAAGGGAGAAATGCGCTAAGAGGAAGGCACACTTGGCAAACCCTCACCGTGATCAGCTCCCACCCGGAAACCTATGTCCCCACTGTGAAAGGACGTGTGGAACCAGAATTGGCCTCCACAGTCACTTACGGACTCACTGTTAAAACCATGTTTATGGAAGACAATCTTACTCAGCTACGAGGGATCGCCGAAGAAGAAGACGATGTGAGTTGAGGGGAAGAACAGGGCTGGTAAGGTGGTAAGGGAGGTGGGAGGCTTAATGTTGGGGACCCCGCTCCACAAAGGAGCGGGAAGATTTGGTGTAGTGAATGTGTGTGTGCCCCCCAATTCCCACTCCCGAACTGTCCTCTATTTTGCCCAGCCTTTGATGGCAACCCTAACTGCCAGCATGGGATATGACTTGAGGAGAGATGTGAGGGCCAGACAGAAAGCCCTGGGGGGCCGCATCTGGTCTCCAGCCCCAACGTTTCCTAGCACAGACATCAAGCAGACCTCCCTCCCTTTAATTAATCCACTATTAATAGACAAGTAGCAAATCAGGCTTACTTCACTGAGTTTTGCAACAACAGGTCTCTGGCCTGTTCCAGCTCTATGAAAACTGAGGGAGGGATACAGGAGGGAGCAGATTAAGTTGCCATCCTTTGGGAAGGGTGCGACGGCTGGCAAAGATCAGTTTCCTCTGCCCTAAGCACTTCTCGGAGAAAGGAAAGGCGGGCGGTTTTTCAGTGAAGAACAACAGGCCTTATCTTGACCCGAAAATATTATTCTGAAATCTCCCCAGATTGTTTTGCTAATTTCAAAAAAAAAGAAAAGAAAGACAGAGAAGGGGGGGATGATCAAATAGTGAGCGATTCTTCTTCGTCTGCCAATATTTTTAATAAGCAACTTAGTCAATGTTAGCACAGCTGTTTGTCCAGATCGGTTCTCGGGATGACTCACTTTTGGAAGCGGGCGGCTTCCCGGAGTTTATCTGCTCTTTTTAACACGTGCGGCGAATATATGTCCCCGTCTCCCGTCGCCCAGAAGATCGAGGGGTGCTACCGGATCCAAAACACACAGGCTGCAAGGCCGAGGGCGAGGGAAAGTGGATCAGAGTAAGCAGGGAAGCAGAAGGAAGGGATCCGTCTGAGGCTCGGTCTCTGGATTTCGACGGGACGTCTAAAACCGGGTTGCGTTTCTCCAGAGGCCACCGTGGCTGCTTTATTCATGGGGAGCTTTGCATCACCTGGTTTCCCCTCTGAGTTGTTGTTTCCAAAGAAGACGTTGACTTCCTGAAGCAGCGCCAAGAGAAATCTTAGCTACAGAGGAGTTTTCAAACGAAACAGGAAGGAGGAGTCTGGGCGTGGCGAAGAGCGGAGTGGGGACTTGGCTCCCCGGTGGATGCTGGCTGAGGATCCAGAGATGATTCAAGGCTAAGAAGGGAGAAACGCGGCAAAAATCTGTGGACGCAAGAAGTAGCTATTGTGGAAGAAAACGCAGGCAGGGAATCAGAAGAAGCTGCGCCGGGGGGATGTGTGTAGTGGTTAAGAGCAGTGGACTCGTAATCTGGTGAACCGGGTTCGATTCGCCGCTCCTCCACATGCAGCTGCTGGGTGACCTTGGGCTAGTCACACTTCTCTGAAGTCTCTCAGCCTCACTCACCTCACAGAGTGTTTGTTGTGGGGGAGGAAGGGAAAGGAGATTGTGAGCCGCTTTGAGACTCCTTCGGGTAGTGATAAAGTGGGATATCAACTCCAAACACTTCTTCTCACATAAACAGAGAGGGGCATAGCTCAGTGGTAGGGCATCTGGTTTGCATGTAGCAGGTCCCAGGTTCAATCCCCGGGCTCTCCATTTGGGATGTGTATAGATGCTAAGGGAAGATATTTTTATATTTTTATACTTTTCAGGTTTATACATTTTATTAATTTTACAATCATTTTAACATTTCAAAGCTTGACTTCCTTCCCCCTCTTTCTGCAGTTCCTTAAATTTATTTTTAATATCTTCTGCCTGGGACGTGGATGGCGCTGTGGGTTAAACCACAGAGCCTAGGGCTTGCCAATCAGAAGGTCAGCGGTTCGAATCCCTCGCAACGGGGTGAGCTCCCGTTGCTCAGTCCCTGCTCCTGCCAACCTAGCAGTTTGAAAGCACATCAAAGTACAAGTAGATAAATAGGTACCGCTCCGGTGGGAATATATTTATTAGATATTATCCTTCCTCCCTCATGTTTGCGAGTTCAGCAGAGTGCATCCCTTTGCAGCTTAAAGGGGAAGCTTAGACAGGCTAGATTAAGACTTTCAGTTTAAGTAATTCAGGATGCTTTAAGGCAGACTGGGTTCTCATGACATTTAGCCCTTTTCTCCCCCTTAAAACAATAATCACACAAACGGTCTTGTAAAAGGTAAACATAACATTTACTTAGAACACTTGCTGAAGAATAACAGATAGCAGCAGCTTTGTTTAGGCAGGCTTAAAATGGTAATCTACTTACAGAGACATCCTTTAGCTTAAAGTGGTGTCTGAGCTATGGAGCTCAGACATGCAGATGTTCTGCATTGCTAGAATGAGGTGAAAGAGCAAAGAGGAACTTGCCCAGCCAGGTGAGGAGATTATATGTATGGCTTCACCCTCCTCCTGACAGGGCACAGTGGGAGTGTCTCTCAGAGTCCTCTCTGGGCTGATGCTGGAAGCTGGAGATACTGAGATATGTCTGCTCTGTGATGGAACCCAACCTGTGACTTGGGGCTTCCCTGGAAACCTAAAGTCGAAGCAAAATCTGCTGGGGTATTAATGCTCAAAGATCCTCCATCCTATGATCAGGGTGTGTGTGTGTGTGTGTGTGTGTGTGTGTGTGTGTTTAAATACAACCATATATTCTAAAGATACCACGTTGACTTCCATTCAAAGGAAACTGAGCCTTGGGTAAGTGCTGGAACCCCTGTGTGTCTTGCCACTTGGAGATCGGGGTGTATAAACATCATAGGAACTTAGGAAGTTGCCTTACACTCACTCAGACCACCATTCATCTAGCTCTATATTGTCTATACAATATGGCAGCGATTCTTCAGGGTTTCAGGCAGGGAACATTCCCAGCCCTTCCTGGAGTGTCGGATGTTTACGGTGCAGTCAACCCAACAATGCATGCTTGCTAGATAGGCACATGATAGGAGGTGAAGTGCAGAGTTTTCCTGTAAGTTTCCTAGAGAGGGGGAGTGTCTCCTGATACAGACATATGCTAACAACATCAATAGAAGAAGAAGAAGAGTTTGGATTTGATATCCCGCTTTATCACTACCCGAAGGAGTCTCAAAGCGGCTAACGTTCTCCTTTCCCTTCCTCCCCCACAACAAACACTCTGTGAGGTGAGTGAGGCTGAGAGACTTCAAAGAAGTGTGACTGGCCCAAGGTCACCCAGCAGCTGCATGTGGAGGAGCGGAGATGCGCACCCGGTTCACCAGATTACAAGTCTATCGCTCTTAACCACTACACCACACTGGCTTTCAATAGAATACAAAAGGCCAGTCCTCAGACAAAGTTTTGCGCTCCCTCATTGCCACACCCCAAAACTGAAATGCTACCTCTCTTAAATTCAGAATGGTGTGGGAAGGAATATAGGAACCTACAAAGCTGCCTTATATCGATTCCAACCACTAGTCTAGTTACCTCAGCATTGTCCACACTGACCAACAGTGGCTCTCCGGCCTCTCTTCCACAGAGCCACAACCATTCCCTCAACTGGTGTGGCCACCCGTCCCTTGCCGTTCCCTCATTTGACCAGAGCCAGGTGGTGGCACGCTTCCGTTCCTGTTCCCAGGTCACCACTTGGAGACCTTGCGAGTGCCTGGCCTAAGCCCCTTTTAAATTTGGAAGCATAGCTGCAAATCCCGCCTGCATTTAGGCTCCTTAAATCCCATTGATGTCAACGAGGTTTAAGGACATCTGTGCTGAAGACTGCGCCCCAGTTCCCTAATGGCTGGGCTGTCTCTGTTCTGACACACGGACAAGCGTGATCTTCACAAGGCTTGAAATCCTGGCCCAAAGCTGTCCTTTGAAGCCAAGTCCCATTACGCATTCTTTGCGGGCTACGATTTCCTGCATTGATTAATCAAGTCGTATCCCCACCGTTTGAAGTGTCAGCTGTGTAGTATTGATTAATAGGTCTTCTTCTCTATACGGAAAAGAGTGAGCGGTCCCAGTCTCGACAGTCGCCAATGAAAATAAAACCCATGCTAACTGCTCCCCTCAGATTTATCTGGAGAATTCAGAAGGGGCTGGCAGGGTGTGGCAGAGATGGGGATCTTGAGTGACAATTGAAACCTGTAAGGAAAACCAAAACAAAATCAAAGTTGGATCCTTCCCAACAAATGGAATAAGCCTAACACGTTGAAATGTGGAAGGGGCAAGCAGAGGGAGGGGGCAAGGAGGCAGACGTTATACTTTCCAGGAGTTTAGAAAAAAAGGACAGGTTCTTTCCACAGTGCGAAGGGGAAACGGGTTTACTAAACAGTGTGACATAACTTGTTTGCCCAGCGCTGAGGCGACAGCTGCTTTTATTACCCTGCGCTACCTCGCAGAGTACACCCCCCCCCGAGCCTTTTCGAGAGAGGGGCTGGAAAAAAGGATAACGTTTGCGTGGAGCTGGGTGGCATCTCTGGGAGCAGGGAGGGAGCCCCAAGCAAAGCAGACCCACCCGCCGTGTGGAGCGTAAACAAACCCCGTCAAGGAGGGAAGGGTGAGGTGGGGGAGAGAGAGAGAGAGAGAGAGTGAAGGGAAGAAACTCCATCTCCCTTTGCTCCATGCCAGCGAGAAGTTGGGCATAATGTCGACTGACATATGACAGGTACGCCCAAGTTGAATTTGCCTTCCCCACGGTGGTCGCAAAGCCGGTGGAAAGATGGCAGCTCCATCAATGGCTCCTTGTTTGGGTCCAAGAGCTTTTTCTCTTTTTTTGCAGAAAGTATGCACACCAATTAACGGGGGTTGTCGAAACAGGGAGATGTCTGCAGCTACAACCTTTGATGGGACACGGGTGGCGCTGTGGGTTAAACCACAGAGCCTAGGACTTGCCAATCAGAAGGTCGGCGGTTCGAATCCCTGCGACGGGGTGAGCTCCCGTTGCTCGGTCCCTGCTCCTGCCAACCTAGCAGTTCAAAAGCACGTCAAAGTGCAAGTAGATAAATAGGTACCGCTCCGGCGGGAAGGTAAACAGCGTTTCCGTGTGCTGCTCTGGTTCACCAGAAGAAGCTTAGTCATGCTGGCCACATCGGCTCCCTCGGCCAATAAAGCAAGATGAGCGCCGCAACCCCAGAGTCGTCCACGACTGGACCTAATGGTCAGGGGTCCCTTTACCTTTACAACCTTTGATGCCATTAGAAGGGCCCATCGTAGAGGATTTGTCTCGCATCTCAAAGCTTCCAGGTTTGAGTCCTGGCATCTCCAGTCGAAAAGGATCTTGGGTAGCGGCTTTCTCTGTCAGGAGACTAATCAACCAAACTGTTGGGAGCTTTTGATCCAGATGTGGCAAGCAGCTGTCCTCCAGAATATCCCCATCTGGGAGCAAAGGTCACTTCAGACCAACGGTCCGTAGCTCAATTTTGGCTACAGTGAGAGCTGCCAAGGGACGCGGGTGGCTCTGTGGTCTAAACCACAGAGCCTCTTGGGCTTGCTGATCAGAAGGTTGGTGGTTCAAATCCCTGCGACGGGGTGAGCTCCCGTTGTTCGGTCCCAGCTTCTGCCAACCTAGCAGTTCGGAAGCACATCAAAGTGCAAGTAGATAAATAGGTACCACTCCAGAGGGGAAGGTAAACAGTGTTTCTGTGTGCTGCTCTGGTTTTGCCAGTAGCGGCTTAGTCATGCTGGCCACATGACCTGGGAAAATTGTCCGCAGACAAACGGCTCCCTCAGCCAGTAAATTTAGAGCAGGCTTCCTCAAACTCAGCCCTCCAGATGTTTTGAGACTACAATTCCCATCATCCCTGACCACTGGTCTTGCTAGCTAGGGATCATGGGAGTTGTAGGCCAAAAATATCTGTAGGGCCGAGTTTGAGGAAGCCTGATTTAGAGGCCACTAGTTTAGATACCCCTGATCTATAACAAGGGTCAGTGGCTTGCCAGAGTTTCAGACTGATTTTATTTAGTAAGAATTGCATCTGGACATTTCTACATGCAAAGAACTTTTTCTTCCACCAGAAGCGTTCACCCAGGCCTCAGCTGACAATACTGGAATCTAGTGTTGATTTGGATTTTAGAAATGGTGGTCCCTTTTAGCAGGTGGGATGTGTTATGCCTCTTCTGATGTATAAGAATGCTGCAATTAGATTCAGCCAAGCTTCTGAATGCTTCTGAAACCGCTGGAGGCGAGAGGGCTCTTGTGTTCTGCTTGCTGGTTTCCCACAGGCACCTGAGAACAGGATGCTGGACTAGATGGCCCACTGGCCTCATCCAGCAACCTCATCTTATGCTCTAGCTTCTATTCTGTTTCAGTTTTAGATTAGTTGTAATTTTTGTACTTATATGCAGAATTCATCATGCGAAAGGCTGGGCTGGATGAATCTCAAGCCGGAATTAAGATGGCCGGAAGAAATATCAACAACCTCAGATATGCAGATGACACAACATTGATGGCAGAAAGTGAGGAGGAATTAAAGAATCCTTTTAACGAGGGTGAAAGAGCAGAGCGCAAAATATGGTCTGAAGCTCAACATCAAAAAAACGAAGATCATGGCCACTGGGCCCATCACCTCCTGGCAAATAGAAGGGGAAGAAATGGAGGCAGTGAGAGATTTTACTTTCTTGGGCTCCATGATCACTGCAGATGGTGACAGCAGTCACGAAATTAAAAGACGCCTGCTCCTTGGGAGAAAGGCAATGGCAAACCTAGACAGCATCTTAAAAAGCAGAGACATCACCTTACCAACAAAGGTCTGTATAGTTAAAGCCATGGTTTTCCCAGTAGTGATGTATGGAAGTGAGAGCTGGAGCATAAAGAAGGCTGATCGCCGAAGAATTGATGCTTTTGAATTCTGGTGCTGGAGGAGACTCTTGAGAATCCCATGGACTGCAAGAAGATCAAACGTATCCATTCTTAAGGAAATCAGCCCTGAGTGCTCACTGGAAGGACAGATCCTGAAGCTGAGGCTCCAATACTCTGGCCACCTCATGAGAAGAGAAGACTCCCTGGAAAAGACCCTGATGTTGGGAAAGATGGAGGGCACAAGGAGACGGGGACGACAGAGGATGAGATGGTTGGACAGTGCTCTCGAAGCTACCAGCATGAGTTTGACCAAACTGCGGGAGGCAGTGGAAGACAGGAGTGCCTGGCGTGCTCTGGTCCATGGGGTCACAAAGAGTCGGACACGACTAAACGACTAAACAACAATATAAGACACACTGAGCTATCTTTTTATTTAAAAAATGACTAATTCATATAAATGAATGAATGACTTTAATAATGTTTCTGCTACTGCACCTGACCTCAATTTCAGGGTATGTCAATGGATTCCATCAACAAACGAACTATAAATGAACATATGATATTGCATATGTGTAGCGCTTTTTTTTCTGGGGGGACGCATACCCCTAACCATTTGGTGCACCTAAATTTGGCCTCATTGAGGGGCAGTGTTTCAATATGAGTAAGAAAATGAGAGTGCCCCTTAATATTTTTAAGGGGGGGAAAGCACTGCGTATGTGTACAAACTTCCAGCTGCTTTTTAAATGAAAAACTCCAGCCATTCCAATGCTACGTTCAGTAAAGATACGGGAAAGATTACGGCAGGCATAGGCAAACTCCAGCCCTCCAGATGTTTGGAACTACAATTCCCATCTTCCCTAGCTAACAGGACCAGTGGTCAGGGATGATGGGAATTGTAGTCCCAAACATCTGGAGGGCTGGATTTTGCCTATGACTGGATTACGGCCTTCGCCGCAATCACTCTCATCACCCTCTATGATTTGGGGAGGGGGCGCTGTCCAAAGTGGGGACCTTTTCATACTCGTGAAGATGCATTTTAGAAGGTGTGAGTTTCTAAAAGACACAGGGAGCCTCTGCAATTGCAGGGGGCTCCCCATTTCAGCCATTTATTCTCCAGTCTACGGAAAGTCAGGTAACCCAACCACTACTGAGAAGTGAAAGAATGAGAGCATGAGAGCCGTGGTTGTGTCCTGATTAGTGTTGGACTAGGACCTAGGAGGAGGACTAGGACCTAGGAGGAAGGGACGCGGGTGGCGCTGTGGGTAAAACCTCAGTGCCTAGGACTTACCGATTGTATGGTCGGTGGTTCGAATCCCCGCGGCGGGGTGTGCTCCCGTCTTTCAGTCCCAGCTCCTGCCCACCTAGCAGTTCGAAAGCACCCCTAAGTGCAAGTAGATAAATAGGTACCGCTTTATAGTTGGAAGGTAAATGGTGTTTCTGTGTGCTGCGCTGGTGCTGGCTCGCCAGAGCAGCTTCATCACGCTGGCCACGTGACCTGGAAGTGTCTCCGGACAGTGCTGGCTCCCGGCCTCTTAAGTGAGATGAGCGCACAACCCTAGTGTCGGACACGACTGGCCCGTACGGGCAGGGGTACCTTTACCTTTACCTAGGACCTAGGAGACCAGGGTTCAAGTATTCCGTCATGGGGTAGGAATCATAGGAAGCTGCCTCCTACTGAGCCAGACCATTGGGTCATCTAGCTCAGTGTTTCTCTACACTGACTGGCAGTACTCTCCAGGATACCACGCGGCGAGTCTTTCCTAAGCTCACTGAGTGACATTGGGGCAGCCACTGCCTCTCAGCCCAACCCACCTCAAAGGGTTGTTGGGGTAGTGATTAAATGAGAAGAACCTAGAACTCCTTGGAGAACTCCCATCACCCCTGACTACTGGTCCTTCTAGCTAGGGATGATGGGCATTGTGGTCCAACATCATCTAGGGACACAAGGTTGAGAAAGGTTGCTCTAGGGCCAATCCACAGCCAACCAATGTATGAGGCCTGTGGAAGATGCTCAACCATCTCAATGGTTGCACCAGGGCTGCGGAACTCCTCCAGGTATTACGGGACTACAACTCCCATCATCCCTGAACATTGTTGGCGGGGGTTGATGGGAGATGTAGTCCAAAGCATCTAGCTTAAGAAAGGCCATAGGCATTCTACACAGCCCTCTAGATCAGGGATGGGGAAGCTGCTGTCCTCCAGATGTTTCTCCACTGCAGTGTCCATCTTCTCTGACGTGCTGGTTAAGGTTGATGGGAGTTGGAGTCAGCCAGAGGTTTCCCCATCACTGCTCTAAGGCGGTAGCCAGCTACAGAGACCAACCACCATGAGGAACTGAAATTCATTAAAGGGTTGAGTGATCCTGTTCCCAGCCTGCACTGGAAAGACTTTTGTTTTGTTTTAAACAAGCACATTTGTGGTTTGTGAAATAAATAGGGTGTTTTAACATCTCGGCAGTATGAGGTCCATATGGCAAAAGCCACATTAAGGGAGAGATGGGTGTTGTGCGTCTGTCGTCTTAGTCAAAGAGCCAAAGTAAACAAAGGCATCGCAATATCAGCCTGTATAAAGGCAAGACAGCAAATGACAGGAGGAGGTCTGGATTAAGGCTTAGGGTTAAGTACACTGCAGCAACGAAGTCTCGATTTAGGGTCAAAATGGCCCTCACTTTCAATGCATAAATGGATATATGACCCAACTCAGTCTCATTATACATTTCTGAGAGCAGGTAGTGTCTGCCTTATATGTGGAACCCATTTTCCATTGGAGCTCAATGTCCAGCCGTTCAAAGTCAACAACCCTGAAGAGATATAGATAAGGGAATAAATTCCATCAGCTAAATGGAACTTTGAAGTGAACAAAGAATCTACAAATGTACTGAGTCCAGTTCTGGGCATCACAGTTTAAGGAGGATATTGAAAGACTGGAACACACACAGGATGAGGAGGACCAGGATGGTGAAGGGTCTGGAAACCCAGCCTTAGGAGGAACCATTGGAGGAGTTGGGTATGTGTAGCCTGGAAAAGAGGAGACCGAGAGGTGCTATGACAGGCATCTTCTGATATCCGAAGGGGGGGTCACATGGAAGATGGAGCAAGCTTGTTTTCTGCTGCTCCACAGGGAAGGACTCAACCCAATTGATTCAGAGAATGGAGGTTCGGACTAAACATCTGAAAGAACATTCTGACAGTAGAAGCTGATTGACTATGGAAGAGTCTACCTAAGAAGGTTGTATCTCCTCCTATGGAGGTTTTAAAAAAGAGCTTGCATGGACCATCTGTCAGGGATTCCTGCATTGCAGAGGGATAGACTAGAGAGGACCCTCTAGGACCCTTCCAACCCTACAATTCTATGATTCTAAGAACATAAGTGGAACCTGGCAGTTGGATCAGGCCAATGGCCCATCTAGTCCAGCATCCTGTTATCACAGTAGCCAACCAGATACCTATGGGAAGCCTGCAAGCAGGGCATGAGTGCAACAGTGCTCCCCACTTGAGTTTGATTCTGGGGTTGCGGCGCTCATCTCGCTTTACTGGCCAAATAGCCGGTGTACAGCTTCCGGGTCATGTGGCCAGCATGACTAAGCCGCTTCTGGTGAACCAGAGCAGCGCACGGAAACACCGTTTACCTTCCCACCGGAGCGGTACCTATTTATCTACTTGCACTTTGACGTGCTTTCGAACTGCTAAGTTGGCAGGAGCAGGGACCGAGCTGTATTCAGAGGCAAAACATGGCCTTTTCCTCCATATATTCATCTATTCTGCCTTTCTAAGACACCAGAGTTGGTGGTTATCACTACCTGCCATAGGAGCAAATACTTTAAAAAAAAAATGAAGTTTTTATCTCTACAAAATAAAAGAAAGAAAGGTTTAAACGTGTACATGTTAGTAACACAAAGCATCCCCCTACCTCACCCCCCCACCATTGCTTCGAAATAACTTGAAATGTGAGTTAAAATTTTACTTCTTTCCATCGTTGCTTGACCTTAATTCTATAACTTATCTTTACAGTTGTGTTGTTATATTGTATTTGACATTCTGATTTTACTTGCATTTGTAACCTTTCCCCCTTACAAACCTTCTTTACACATCAATATTTCTGTACCGGAGCAGTGTTTTTTCATATAGTCATTCACGCAACTCCATTCTTTTATTAAATTTTAATTTGTTTGACCTCCGATAGCTGTCGTCATTTTGGCCAATTCAACAAATTCAGTAAGTTTGATTTGCCAATCTATTATTGTGGGTATTTTGTCTCCCTTCCAGTTCTTTGCTATAAGAACTCTTGCGGCAGCAGATGCGTATAAGAATATCCTTTTCTTATTTATGGGGATGTCATTTGTTATTAATCCCAGAAATTACGCATCTGGTTTCTTGTTGACCATTTAAAAAAAAATCTTTATTATCGCTTCATGAACTTTATTCCAAATTCCATAGCATAATCATGGACTGTGTGATTGCACTCCACAAATAGTTTAGCTGAATTGGCTATAGAAAGCTTCTAACCCATGTTATCTGGATTGTACTGTACACCAACCTTCTATTACTGGGCGGTGAGGGGAACCTTGTAGTTCAGTTGTTGCTGAACTACAACTCCCATCACCCTTTGCCATTGGCTATGCTTGCTGGGGCTGTTGGGAGTTGTAGTTCAGGAACATCTGGAAGGCTAAAGGTTCCTCACAACTCCTCTATGATTAAGAGTTGGACACAACATCATACTACATAGGCAGCTGCTCTACCGGTGGAAAGCACTCTGTTTTTGGAGACTTCTAGAAGTCTTGGAAGACCCATGGGACCCACACTCCCTCCCCCCCCCCGGGCCATCATTCCACCTCAGCAAGATATCAAGACAGGCTCCATGATATAATTTAAAATACATTTATTGTTTCATTTGTTCTCATTTGTTATACAAAGATGTTAAATAATTTAAATACATTCTCCACAGTCACTCAAGAATCAGATTTATACCTAAACAAAGCTGTACATATGAGGTAGAGAAAAATAATTTAGGCTCCCATAAGACATTAACCACCCCAAACCCGCCCCCTGGAAAATATAATAATACATACTACAAATCCTTCATATGTCAGAATTTGCTCCTCACAACCCTTCCCAAAAGGAACTCAGTTTGCACAACAAGTCCCCGTTCATGCTTCCTAGATGAAAAAAATGGAATCAGAGACCATTAATGAGCTAAACAATACTTTTTTTTTTTTTTACTAAAAATCGATGCACCCAAAACAGAAATGGAGGATGCTGATCCAATTCAGATGGCAATTTTAAAACTTAATCATTCATACCCAAAGACTGGTTTTGTTTGTTTGTTTCATATTCAGGGAGATCACCTCTCCGTGTCTTTCTCCAAAGCAATAAATAGAGGCTGAAATGATGAACCCTGAAATTTAAGAAAAGTGCTGCTGAACACATCTTCTGCAGAGTTCTCCACCTCCCCTCTTGCATTGGCTTAGGTAAACAAGAAGCTCTCTTACGCAGACTCAAACCTTTAGCCCATCTAGTACAGTGGTGTCTACACGGACTGGCAACAGCTCTAGAGCATTTCAGGCAGAGATCTTTCCCAAACCTACCCTGAGATGCCAGAACCTGGGAGCTTATGCATACAAAGCAGACACTCTACCACACAGCTACAGCCTTTCGACATCATTTTAAGACTCCCCACCCCTACAATCTCCACTCCAAATTGTGACATGCAAGCGAAAGAGATCCTAGCGATTTTTTTGGCAGGGAGAGAAAACCAGTTGACATGGGGGTGCCATTTTGGCTGTACTTTTAGCTTCAAAAGAGAAGCATTGTACTTCCCCCTTTCCTCACACGTCTTGGAAGTAAGACCCTAACAGGGCCTCTATTCATAACCCTTTTTATTACGGCACCTGACATCAACTTATTATATCCTGGGTCCATCTCAAGGACAGCCACATGGCTGCCTTTACCATCTGAAAGGACATTGACAACTTTCCATGCACACTACCAAATCCTCCACCTTCGGCCTAGCCTTCCCCAAGTTGGTGACCTCTAGCTGTTGAACTACAGCTCCCATCGTACCTAACAATGGGCAAAGCTTGCTAGGGTTGGTGGGAATCGGAGCCTCAATACCACCTAGAGGTCCGCAAGTCAAGGGCTGCCTCAGGCAGTCTTAGAAGACAGAACCTGGTGTGGTGTTTTGTGGGTTTGAATGTAACACTGGAAAACCTACCACAAAAGCTGTCTCAGTTACACCAGCTTGGGGAAAGTAGTGTGTAACTATATTATTGAATAGTAATTTATATAAATAATGGGTGCACCCCACTAGAGGAAGAATGTCGGTAAGACAAGGTTGATTGGGCAAGGAGAACCTATTATTATTACTATTATTATTATTATTATTATTATACATTTATTTATAGCCCGCCTTTTCCCCTGATAGGACTCAATGTGGTTTCCATCAAGACTGAGAGAGAGGAATAGGAAATCAGTGAGAGGCAAGATGGCCACCACAGCAGTCCAACTCATGCACTATCCACTGGTGCTGTGCTCAACCAAGTCTGCTTTGTGCGCAGAACATTCCAGGTTCAATTCCTAGCATCTCCAAGAGGAGCTGAGAATGTTCGCCTCACCTGAAACCTTAGAAAGGGGCCACTAGTTAGGATAGACCATGCTGAGCTAGATGGACCAATGTTATGACTTGCTATGTTATGACTTGCCCATGTTCCAGCCTTCTCTAGGTTGCCCCTAGCTGGCCCTGGGCTAGCACAGCTGTGGCAGGTTCTTCTCCATTCTCTCCCCTTCCTTGATTAGGTTTCATGTGGAGTCAGATTCACACTTTGCCTGGAAAAGACTGACAGTCAAAGTGTACTGTCGCTCCATGTTTCACAAAGGAGCCAATCCTTATGATTGTCACAATAGAACCAGATGCCTTAGATTGAAGCAGCAAAAAGTGTTCTAGACCACCAGGAAAGTGTCTACCTTAAGGCATAACCAATGTGTTAAAACAACACAAGATCATTTTCAGCTTTGGGTCAATGACCTACTTTTGGGCTACAAATAGGAGCAGCCCACTGCTAGGTCATGGAACAAAAAAACCCATTAAGAGCAGATATTTCTTGGACCCAGTGAGAATTTGGCAGATGATGAAAAACCCAACTCCATGAACACCATGATCATGACCCAGTACAATTCAATAGGGGAGCAACAGTCTCAACATGCCCATTTAAGTCAATTGGTGACTGCATGGACGGCCACAGGTTCTTTGCAACTTCAGTAGGTTCAACAAAACACATCCTCCTGGGTTTGTTTCATTTTGTCTTGCAAAAAGACACCCTAATGCTGACTCTCCTGGCTTTCCACAAAACTGCCATAAATATGCAGAAGACAGATGGTCACAAGGGCATTTGCTACAAGGCACCATGGCTGAGCGAAACATCCTCTGCAGTGTGTGCACCCATATTGCATATATATTACTACAAAATATCGTTGTGTGTATATTAGGAGCATTTGCTAAACATGTTAACTTATGAAACAGCCGCAAGAGATTAAGCAACAAAGAAGCAAAATGGAAGGTGTAGAATACAAGGGATCTGCTGGCCCTCAGCTACTAGAGGACACTCTCATTTAAACTTAATGGAATTTAAGGCCTCTCTTCACCCACCTGGTACCCTCCAGATGTTGTTGGACTGCAACGCCCAGCTGTGACTGATGTGAGCTACAGTCTAACAACACCCAGAGGTGGGTGAAGGTTGGATTGAGGGCTCTCTCTCTCCCTTGTTCTGTTTCATAGGGAGCATCTAAAGAACCAACAGGCTAGCTAGTTACGCAGAACCTGGCGGGCTTTCGACTTGCAGTTCCACAAACAACAGAAATTCCCTCGCCCATCTCCATGACACAAAAAGGTTTCTTCAGAAACCAAGGAGAGTCGAGAGCAGTTCTGAGATCCTGCTCGGGGGTTAAGTCAAAATCAAAAGTCTCACTGGACACAAGCCAGCCTTTGGAAGCTTTTCCAAAGGGTAGCGCGTTGGATCCTGGTCAACTGTCTCTCCACCAACATTGATAGCAGGGGGAGCCAACATATTGTCCTCATATTGTGTAGAGACTCATAACCCTCACCACGCTCAGTCTGCATGGGCCAATGGTCAGGGCTGGAGGGCAGTCTGAATCCTACATAGTATGTAAGACACCATGTTAGTTTCCCAGGATTTAAGGCAAGGAAAGCACTGCACACTAGCATCAACCTTACTGGGGAGGACAACTTGTAATATGGCCTTGGGTTGATGAAAGCCCCATAAAAGCTAGCCCAATCTCAAAAGGGGAATAATAATAATAATAATAATAATGTGTATTACACCTGCCTATACAATTCAATGCATGTGCCTCAATACTATTTATATATATATATATATATATATATTTTAAAAAACCCACAGGAGAATAAACCTTACTATTTACAATATATATATATATCTATATAACATGAAAGCAATAATATTTGCATTAACATAAATACATTTTTAAATACTTACAGAAACACCCGGGCTTCAGTGCGCGAATTATTATACAAAGAGGAGTTTCTCCCACTCAGTAGTTCACTCACTCCTTTGCCTCTCAGCTCAAAGGCCACAATCCTACACACGCTTACTCAGGAGGAAGTCCTATAGAATTCAGCGGGACCAACTTCTGAGCAAACGTGGGTGGGGAAAGACTGCAAGAGATGCTCTGCTTCTCCTTTCTTTGCACAGCTGCACATAAGACCATGTTCACACATCAGGGTAAGCCATGGTTTACTGTGCATAAGCCAATTATGTTCATTTTGCACCTCCCTGCAAGAGTTGGGGAATAACAAACCATGGTCGTTGGCTTGCATTCATTCAAACCAAGGAATAGGATTTATTTTGCTCCCCAAGCAAACCATGATCTGTAGCCAATTATGGTTTGTTTGAGATACACCACAGTCCCTGGTTTAGACATAACACTAGGCAAGGAGTCATGACCCTTTTCCTCTGTATGCAAGAATAGGTGTGTTCATGCAAAATCGCTGACTGTGGTTTACTGTGATGTGTGATCTGGGACAAGGTTTCAACAAGGCAAGCATGTACAAAAAAATGGGGGCCACATTCCCAGAATGTACACCTGCAATTTCACTATTCTGCCTATCTAAAAAGTTGGACTTTTACTATTGCAATGCTCTCAGTTCAGAAGGTTGACACATTTTCACCCACAAGGGAAATCCATCCAGGATTTGGGGCCTAAGACATTTTGGTGTTGGAGGCAGAAAATGCAGAATCCCTCCTTCCCCTTTACTGGGGGTAAAATTACTAATTTGAAGCTGCAATCCAATGCACACTTACTTGTGCAAGTATCTCAATAGGGCTTACTGAGGAGTAACAATTCACAGGATTGTCTTTGATGGTACACTCAAATTTGCCACCCAGTTAGAGGCTGACCAACTTTGAGATGCAATATAATTTAGGGCTGTGATCCTATGCAGATTTCTACAGGAAGTCCTAAGTGAGCCCAGAGATTTGCTCCTTTTTAAATTGCACAGGACCAGTGATGGTTTCCCCCACGTTTTGAGAACGTTTTTGCAATAGAATGCGGGCATTTTGCGGGTTCCCCCAACTCCAGTTCAAACTGGCATATCAATATTTGCAGCAAAGCTGGGTTCCTACAGTCAGCTACAGCGCCATCCTACCCATACGGGCAAGATGTCAAAGAAAGAAAAAGCCCATTCACACTTTTTGTTTTCCGGTGAACACAACATTTAGCCAGATCTCCATGGCAAAATACCACAGTGGCATCCATTACAAGGGTTTGATTCCTTACAGCCAGGTTTATCACCAGCGGCAATCCATTGAGTGAAACTAGCTCAGTATTGTCTGCCAAGTATCAGACTGGAACTTTTTCCAGCCTGACCTGGAGATATTGAGGATGGAACCTGGGATCTTGTGCAGGCAAAGCAATTGCTCTGCCACTGAGCTACAGCCATTAAGACTATCACCTAGCCAATAGCACTCAAGGTGGGGCTACCCCTTCTTCCACTTAACTTAAAGCCAATTCATTGCACGCTGGTCTCAATCAGGATGGTTTCACAAGAGAGGAACCCCAGTAAAAGCAAGAAACTGGTGTGTGTGTGTGTGTGTGTGTGTGTGTGTGTGTGTGTAAGGATGTCTGCCTTTCGTCAGCCAACCTGGGCAAAGATCCAGAAAGCAAGGTCATCTACAGCTGATAAGGGGGACAGGCCCAGGAAGGCACAAGGCTACCCCAATCATGGGGGCTGCACAGGGCAACAGGCAAAGCTGTTGGCTCGGAAATGGGGGGAAGAAATCCCCTCACTTCCTCTTCAACACAGATCTTTGGGGTCACAGTGTCTTTGGCAAAAAGTTTCCCAGATTATACACTCGTTCTTGCCAATTGCAAGTTGGGAAACACTCCCTAGGGAGAAAAACATAAATGGTGGCCCTCCACACCTCAACACACTCAAACAGGTTTCACCTGGGGCAGCAGAATAGCTCAGTCTGGCCCTGCCCCCCGTTTAGAATGGAGCATAACTGTAATAGTTAAGGTACCATAGCGAGATCAGGCATGGATGAGTCAGTACCCATAGCCCAGGCATAGGCAAACTCGGCCCTCCAGATGTTTTGGGACTACAATTCCCACCATCCCTGACCACTGGTCCTGTTATCTAGGGATCATGGGAGTTGTAGTCCCAAAACATCTAGAGGGCCGAGTTTGCCTATGCCTGCTCTACCTCATATCAAATTCTTAAGAATCAGTCCCTATATCTGTTTGGTTCTACCCCATTTTTGCATCTGGAAATACATTTTTTTCCCCAATTTGGAGACGGGCAAGATCCAAAGGAAAATTATGTTCCAAGTCGCACATCAAACCCAGCGGGTGTAAATTCAGGTCACTTCACTGAAAAAATGTGGACTGGCCTAAACTTTCCTCCCTGACTATTTGCAATCCATTCTTCCAGTGAGCTAGGACTGAGCTGAGTAGTCCAGATCCCACACACAAGAAGAAAATCTGGAGAATGTGGCATGTGGCATGCATCTTAAATTTTGTCAAAGAAGTAATGATTTGGATAAAGTTATGTGTATGTGCAAAACAAGGTGGGAAGGAGAGATCAAGCATGCTCAAGAGAGGACTGGACATAATACCACATTGAAACCATAAGAAGGTACTTCTGAAAGGCTTAATAAATAAATGTTCCATATTTATATTTAGGCGCATATATATATATATATTTATATATATCCACATTGAATAATAGGTTTCTATTCAGCCTTTTCTTAAACCAATTTGCACAGAACTTCAGGACTGGTCCATCTGGTGTGACACCCAAGGACAGTTCAGATTGAGGAGTCTGTTGCATGGAGAGCCACCAGGGCAGAGAGGAAGGGGAATAGGTGTCTTTGAGGTTCAACATCTGTTGCAACCGGTCTCATCTGACCTTCAAAAAGATGGACAAGAAGTACCGTCTTCCAATTTTGCAGAATCCTGGACCAGCAAAAGCAGTCCTTGCCTCTTGACCACCCTCAATCAGTTTTCCAATCTGACAGTATACAAAGCCAGTCAAATCCATCCCCTCCCAGTAGATGCTCAATAATATAGCTTAGATACGAGGCGAGTGGCTACTATTTTTTATTATTATTTTAGAGAAGCGGCAGTAAAGGAAAAAAAGATAGAGAGGGCATCCTTCGAAGATTGGGCAGCCCCAGGCACACAAACGGAAACCATGCAGAAGGTTTTTTTCTTATCCAGCTCCCCACTGAAAACCAGGTCAACAGGTTAAAAAAAAAAAGTTTTTTAAAAAAAATGCTACTACTGGAGAATCAGAAATGCTGATCACTGCCTACAGTGGGCACTTTGCCAAGAAGTTAGCTAGCCGCTTCTGATCCAAGTAGTATTGTTGAAGGAGGAAAATCGTCGCAGCCAAGTCATCAGATTTGTAATGTTCCAATTCTAAAAAGCAATGGAAGAATCGCAAGTAGCCCAGACCACCCTTTGGTTTTGGTCACTGCTGTTGGTTCTTTTCTGGCTTCCCTTCCCCTCTTGATGGTTGCCAGTCAGTCACTCAGAACCCAATATTTGCACTGCTGTTGTACTTGATTCCTAAAATGCATGATGCCTCAATCTAGAGACTTCAGGAGGGAAATGTTACAAAGATCATTACAGAGATCTGTGCCGGTATAAACCACTATTGCTGTTGAGTGTAACTGGAATGAGATCCGAAGAGATGTAGAGTAAGTTGGGTTGTGCGATCCGGTCAAGAACGGCTTACGAGGAAAAGTCAAAGCAGCATTGTAGCCTATAAGGCAACAGGGTTTCTCCATAAAACCAGGAAGGCAACTTGCACGTCCAGAAGTTAGGATTTCAATACGTACTGGAATTTAAGGCAGCATCCACAGGGTGAGTTTTGGAGCAATAAGAGGTACAAAATAAAAACAGTAATAATAAGGAGTTATAGAGTGCTGGTGTGTCCCTGGGAAGGTTTAAGAAGGCCTCTAGTGGTTTTCATCATTTACAAAAGTAGATCGTGAAGGTGACAACAAGAAGTGAGAGGGGGATTGAAGTGGGGCAATGCAATGGGACGTCTTGAAATCTGGAAGGAAATCTCACAATGTCTGCTTCAAAGTTGAGGTGGTCAAACCAAACCCTCCACGTTGAGGAACCACAACCGCCTTCCATCAAGCAGGCCACATTGAAACATCCTATTTTAGGAGATCCCACTATGTAACTTTTAAAACTTTGACTCTCCTCCTTTAAAGAGGTGCTGAAGTCCGACATCACCACCCCTTCCCTTGATACGCTTTCGGTATCGAATTCTTCATAAAACGGGGTGGTGCTTTTTTCCCGTTCCTCACCATGAATCTCAAGGCAGCCATGGAACAAATAGGACAATCCAGATTACAGGCCAGAAGGTTCTCTACCCAAAAGAGAATGCCTGATGTAGCCAAAGTTTCGTGAAGGTCAGTGATGAGGGAAAACCGCTAGGGATCCCATCTCAGTCACCACAAATTATTTTGTTGCATTTTTCGCAACAGCGCACAATTAACACGGACTCCGTGCAATAGGCACTTGTCTCCAGAAGCGTCAGCTGGGTTTGCAGAGAAGGGGGCAGAAGGTCGAGGAAACAAGAAGGCAAGAGTTGGGGGGGGGGTCACCTGTACCCTACAAAGTGCTTACACCATCTCGGCATCGCTTCTCAAGTCAACCGTGAAAAACACCCTTGCAAACCCTGTTTCACCTCCCTGGGTGGGCCCTCTCCCGTCATCAGCAAAGACAATCGGCTGGTGTGCAAGACCCCTCTCGTGCACCACATCAGTCCTTGCACGTGTAGACCTCCTCCCTCTGCGTACACTGTTTGCACTCCACGTAGCAGCACCAGCGGACCTGGCACTGGCAGGGCCTGGTCACCACGCGGCTCTGGGTGTTGTGCCCCCGGCCGCAGCAGATGCTCTCACAGTTCTTGTCCTTGTAACACTTCCTGCCCGATGTGCCAGGCGAATAGCGGCTCACCAGGCAGAAGCTGGGCGAGTCGTCAATGTAGACGAGGTCCGTAGTCCGTGGGATTTGGTCGCCGTGGCCCGGGATGGACTTCTTGGGCGGGGAGATGTCCCCCTCGCCCGTGGCCTCGTTGGTCGTGCTGCCCACTTTGAGGGCCATCTCGTACCTCTGCTTCAGCTGCTTGCCAATCTCGTGGAAGGGGGAGAGCTGCCGCCAGCATGTCCGGACAGTGCAGGATCCAGAGACGCCGTGGCACTTGCAGGTGGTCTCGACGCCAGCTTTGATGACCTGCAGGTAAGGAACTGAGCGTTAATGATGGGCAAGGCAAGCGAGCCGGCAGCAAAATGGTGCTGTGGGGAGCAACTGAGTTCAAGCTTCCAGGCAAATGAACTGTGCCCTCTTTCCTTTTTAAAAAGAACGCTTCTAAAAGCTACGAAGACAAGTGTTCTCTGTTAACATTGACAAGAGGTTCCCAGAACTCTACACATGAGAAGAGGAGCATAGCCTTGGCTAGATCACGTCAATGAGCCATTACGTCTAGCATCCTATTCTCACAGTCACCAACAGGGCCGGATTTAGGTTGGATGAGGCCCTAAGCCAGGGATCAGCAAACATTTTCAGCAGGGGGCCAGTCCACCGTCCCTCAGACCTTGTGGGGGGCCAGACTAGATTTTGGAGGGGGGAAATGAACGAATTCCTGTGCCCCACAAATAACCCAGAGATGCATTTTAAATAAAAGCACACATTCTAATGTAAAAACACGATGATTCCCGGACCATCCGCGGGCTGGATTTAGAAGGCAATTGGGCCAGATCCAGCCCCTGGGCCTTAGTTTGCCTACCCATGCCCTAAGCTACTGAAGGTAATGGGGCCCTTTATATGTCCAGCTGTCCCTGTCAACAACAAATTGCCACAGTTTTTTGTGTTGAATATATGCTATATGGTAATTTATGGACCTAATAGGTTGTTGTTGTTGTTTAGTCGTGTCCGACTCTTCGTGACCCCATGGACCAGAGCACGTCAAGCACTCCCTAAAGCCATTTGCACATGCAGAATGTAGGTACCCTATATACAGAAATGAGCAAACCAGTGATATTTTAGGGAGCAGGCTAGCAGGCGGGGGCCCATGACTTACATCATAGGAGCCTACACAACACAAAACACTGTTGCTGCATGTAGGTTTTTATTTGTTTTTTATCTTGTATTTTGGAAATGTACATCCAGTTTCTTTTCCTTTAAATTTTTTGGGGGGTCCCAAGAGAGTGGGGCCCTAAGCTTGTTTAGCTTATACGTAAATCCAGCACTGGTCACCAACCAGATGTCTCTGGGCAAGCTCAAAAGCAGGGCTTGAAAAGTTATCCCGCCCCCAATGTCTTGACTATTCATTTAACTGGTATAATTCATTTGATTTCCATTCTCTTAGAATACTTGCTCCTCTTTTGTATGAAGTCAGTATTTTTGTGGGAGCAGCCACACTTTGGATGAAATTCAAAGACAATTCAACTAATTCATAGAGGAGAGGGCTGTCAGTGGCTCTTCCTCCATGGTCAGAGGCAGCAATGCTTTTGAGTACCAGCTGATGGAAACCGCAGGAAGGCAGAGGGCTCTTCTGGTCGAATCCTGCTTGTGGGTTTCCCATAAGGGGCATCTGGTCAGCCCCTGTGAGAACAGGAAGCTGGACTAGATGGGCCCTTGACCTGATACCAGAAGGCTCTCCTCCTCCTCCTCTTCTGATGAAGCCAGCAAGACTGGGAAGGGCAAACATGGATATTATCCTGCCCAGGGTAACAGCCTCCCCTTTCATGGTGCCCCTCAGATTTGTAAGACACGCTTGAACAGACATACCTCACGGGGGGGGGGGGAGGTGGAGTGGAAGGGAACGAGAAAGAAAGAAAGAAGGGGTCAGCCCTTTGGGGGATTAAGGAACTTAGCAACGCTCCGGAGAGGTAGTCAGAAAGTTATGCTTAATGATACTTTGCTGAGAAACATGGGCAAGAGGCCGGGGGGGGGGGGTGGAGAGGCAGATTTAATTAAAACATCACTTAACTCTGGCCTGGTGGAACAAAATCAAGTGTGCTAACACTCTGACTTTTCATTAATGGGACACAAAAGGGAGAATTGCAATAGAGGGGAGTTGATTTTTTTCAGGGGAGGGGGAAGGTACCATATGCAGAAGAGAAGGGGGGGCATTGCTGGAATTATACAGCAGCTCGTTTTTAATATACATGAAAATCTTCTAGCAACCTTGGAACATGGGAGGCCTGTAGGGTGGGAGAGAGAGAGAGAGAGAGAGAGAGAGAGAGAGAGAGAGAGAGAGAGGTCTTTGGTTTCTCACTCCTGCTTCTTTCTGCACTATCCCATTCCCAAGAATAGTTGAATGCACTGGGATGGATCTGGCAGGAGCCAGGGGGGACGCTTTCATTTTCTTTTTTTAATATAAGCTGCAGAATTCTTAGGCTTGGGGTTTTTTTCCCCCTCACCCAGAAAGAAAAAGAAGGAGCTTGCCCAAGTCCTTCTGGCTAATTACCTCAACCCCCCGTGCCAGACAAGCTGGCCTTGTCACCAGCGTTGAGGTCATATCGTAAGCGCTTGAGCGAGGCATGAAATGGGTGCAAGAGGGTCAAAGAGGGCGATTCTTGCACTCTTCTGGGGCAAAGAGACACTGCTGAGGTGGGTGTGAAAAAGGGAGAAATGAAATCCTCACCGGGAAGCAAATTTTTAAAGCGGCGGCAAAGGGGTGGGCTGGACGGCAAGCGTGGCATTGGAAGACTTGCGTCACTCAGAAATTCTCCGGCGCGGGGTCAGGAAAAAGGTTCCCCTTGTCCCCAAAGCAACAAGCAATCCCGCCTGCCAACAGCTCAAAGGGTCGGGAGGGAGAAACCCGTCTACTGAGCCTCAGGAGAGCCGTTACGATCAGAAGCGCAGCAAGTGTGTGTGTGTGTGTAATGGAAAACACAACATTCCAGACCGCTGAGAGACCACCAAGCCAGGGCAATGGAGAAGACACTTTCAGAGGGCCCAACAGACCTATTTCTAGAGCGTATTTCTCAACCGTCACAAAGATGGGGAAGACCATTTGATGCAGCTCACCTTTAACGGCAAACCTACCAGATCTGCACTCCCCGAAACTATACGAGAACCAAAAAATCCACAGCCACGCTTGGAAATGCACACTTCTCCGAATTTTGCAATGTTGCTTTCCAGCCAAGTAACATCCATAGAAATGCATATGTTGGAGGTAAAAAGTGAAAACTTACAAAAAAGGCATTCTATTCCAGGAAACAGCTTTGCAAAAGGGTCGTTTTAGGCAACGTTACGAACGGGTGGTTCTAAGAGAAATTTGCCCCCAAAGGCTGGTGAATTTTCAGGACTTAAAAAATAAATTGCATGGTAATGTGGAGAACCAAATTTAAGCTTAGAGAAATTGACATCGACTCCCTAATTATCACCTGGGAGTCATACAGTGGTACCTCTGGTTACGTACTTAATTTGTTCCAGAGGTCCGTTCTTCACCTGAAACTGTTCTTAACCTGAGGCACCACTTTAGCTAATGGGGCCTCCCACTGCTGCCACGCCGCCGCCATGCAATTTCTGTTCTCATCCTGAAGCAAAGTTCTTAACCCGAGGTACTATTTCTGGGTTAGCGGAGCCTGTAACCTGAAGCGAATGTAACCCGAGGTACCACTGTAGTTGTGTGTGCAGTTACAGAGCCAGAGAATTCCTCAGTCCTCTCAAGAGACAATGCCCAGTATCCTTTGAACAGGGAAAGTTCTGTTAACAGATAAACATTTGAAGTGGGATGGGGCCTGGCCACTAACTAAGCAGAGCAAGAGGCCAACAGGGCATGGTTCACCAAGCCACCATGGGCCTATCGCATGGCAGCCGCAGGGCTAAGGAAACAGATTTGGAATGGAGAATTGTGCTGGAGGGAAACTTAGAATAAACTCTATTGAGCGCTTGTTATCTGTCTCTCTGGCTAGTCATAGGCTGGGAGCTATGCAGGATACCCAAGGAAAGTCTATTCATACATCCATCTGGTAATTTAACCCAGAGAAGTCCAGCCCACTTGGAAGCATCACTCTGTAAGCTTAAGAGCTACAACTTGCCTTTTTAATATCAACAAAGAGCCAAAATCCTCAGAGAAAAGTGTTCTGTACATACTACCGCTCCCCACCCCCGCCTGCCATACTCCCACAGAAGTGTGGGGAGACAGGGGTTACTGGTATAGGGTCACCTGGGTCCTAGTTTCACAGTTAAGGAGCTAGGTGGGGAGGAACCAGAATGGTATACGGGTAATAGCATCAAAACTGGTCCTGAGAGACCAGGGTTCAAATCCATGAAGCCCACCAAGTGAGCTTGAGCTGGTCACTCTTCTCACCTAGCCTACCCTCATATAGGACAGGCTCCACATCCACACAAGTCCTGAGCTTTGAGGCCAGCCTTCCCTATCTGGACCCCTCAAGATGCTTTGGCCCACAATTCCCATTCATCCCAGCCAGTGGTCCAGAACATCTGGAGGAGGACACTAAGCCAAGAAAGGCTGTGCTAGGAAGGGGGAAAATAGGACAGAAACCCAATCAAGATCCTTGTCAGAAAGGCCAGCTTTTCTGTTCTGCAAGAACCTGCAGATTCTAGATCTGCCCTGCTCAATGTGCATGCACAAAACATTTCTGACAGCTCTCTGTCTCAGAAAAGCTGCACAGACACCCATGCCCACGCCCCAAAGCCGTTCCCATAGCAACACTCCTGCGAATCTTCTCAGGTCTGATTAACACACTGCTCAAACCCAAATCTTATTAGTGTCAGCTTACCGTGATCAGTTCCCCCTCCCCTTTATCCCCCCCAACCCAATGGAGGCTCTCTTTGTTTGCACTGAAACAGAATCTCAGTGACTTCAACCAGCTTATAGCAGCCTTTAAGTTTGGGGTGCAACTGCACTTGTTGGGAAAGCCGAAGTGGCAACAAGGCCTTTCCGATACAGGACACCACTTTTTTTGGAGGGTTAGACAGCAGGGCCGGGGTGGAAATAAGGTGAATGATCAGATTCTTGAGTTGTTGGAGTGCAATCCCTTTCATTCTCCCCACTTGAACTGCAACAGATTTCCATAGTACTTGTTCTTTTCCTGCAAGAAGTCCCATTTGGGAACACTACAAAGTTCTCTCCAAAGCATCACCTCAAAGGCAAGGGGAGAATTGGCCTTTGATGCAAAACCTGACCTGCCAACTCTGTCTAGAGCAGCCTTTCTCAACCTGTGGGTCCCCAGATGTTGTTGAACTACAACTCCCATCACCCATAGCTAGCAAGGCTCAGGGATGATGGGGGTTGTAGTCCAACAACATCTGGGGACCCACAGGTTGAGAACCGCTGGTCTAGAGAGTGGGGAGAACCACACTGACCAATAAGATACCTGCAAGCAGGACTTGAGCACCTGTGATTCCTAAGAACTGGAATTCAGTAGCATTACTGCTTCTGACCTTGGAAACCATCATGGCTAGAATCCATTGATAGCCTTCTCCTCCATGAATTTGTCTAATCCTCTTTTAATGCTATCCATGTTGGCAGTATCAGGACCACACTAACCCAAGGACTGCTTCTCTCCATAGGAACCTACCCAGACCCTGTGATCATCTTCTGAGGCCCTTCTTCATGTGCCCCCTCCTCGAGAGGTCTGGAAGGTGGCAACACGAGAACAGGGCCTTCTCTCCAGTGGCTCCCCATCTGTGGAATGCTCTCCCCAGGGAAGTTCACGTGGTGCCTTCATTATACACCTTTAGGTGTCAGGCAAGAACCAGACCTTTGGTTGATCTGATTGACATGCTATGCCCTTTTAAAGGGTGGCTCTGTCTTGGGAGAAGGTTGTTATTGGGTTGTTGTTTTTATGTTAATTATATATATTGTAGTTTTTCTGTTGATCTTTTCTGTGAACTGCCCTGAGACCTCCAGGTATAGGACGGTACAGTGGTACCTCAGGTTACATACACTTCAGGTTACAGGCTCCGCTAACCCAGAAATAGTACCTCGGGTTAAGAACTTTGCTTCAGGATGAGAACAGAAATCGTGCTCCGGCGGCACAGCAGCAGCAGGAGGCCCCATTAGCTAAAGTGGTGCTTCAGGTTAAGAACAGTTTCAGGTTAAGAACGGATCTCTGGAATGAATTAAGTACGTAACCAGAGGTACCACTGTATATAAATCCAATCATTGAAGAAGAAGAAATAATAATAATAATAATAATAATAATAATAATAACAACTATCGCCTCCATCACTCACACAGCCTCACCTTCATGCCGACTAGGTTGTTGTGGAAGTCCACCCTGGCTCGCAGGTCCTTGTTGGACTTCTTCCCCAGGAATTCTTTGACAAACTTGTTGCTGTACTTGAGGTTGTCGCCGCAGCCACCCCATTGCCAGGCCTCCCGGTTCTCTAGGTCGGGGGCCTCGTCGCAGGTGCATCGCTCCATCCGCCCGGCACTGCAGGCCTTGGCCATGGCATGTGTGAGTCCTGCCGAAGAGATGGCATAAAGGAAGGCTGTCTCCTTGAAACCTGCAAAGGACAATGGCATCGTTACCCAGAGGAGGATGGCACCAGTTAAGCCTACAGAGCTACAAACACACACACACGGGTTTGGGTTTACATCTTTTAAAATCCTCACTGTATATCTCCACCCCCATCGTTCATCCCGGACACTGAGGTCCAGTTCTGAGGACCTTCTGGCATTTCCCTCCCTGCGAGAAGTGAGGTTACAGGGAACCAGGCAGAGGGCCTTCTTGGTCTTGGCACCCTCCCTGTGGAACGCCCTCCCATCAGATGTCAAGGAAATAAACAACTACCTGACTTTTAGAAGACATCTGAAGGCAGCCCTGTTTTGGGAAGTTTTTAATGTTTGATCGTGTTTTAAATATTCTGTTGGGAGCTGCCCATAGTGGTTGGGGAGGCCCAGGGTATAAGTAATAAATTATTATTATTATAATCCTTGTGACTCACAGAGTGTGCACGGAAGCATTAGGACAGTGTTTGCTGAAAATGAAATTCCATAAGCTAGAAAAGGCTGACTAATGTAGGTTTTCTAATAACTGAAGGTGAGACATTTATGCACTGTCTAGCTTCTGCCCCCCCTCTAAATGGCAGACAAAGCCAGAATCATGAAAAAAGAGTATTCTCCATGCACGCAACAGGAACCAGCTTTTGTTTAGAGTAGCTTCTCCCAATGTTCCTCAACATGGTGAGTCAGGTGATGTCTCCTCAACCCTTTAATCCCCTGGGAGATTAGGGGAGAGGGGAGCTTGTTGCAGCAGGAGAGGGAGACACCCATGATTCCTCACCAGTCGGACTCATCTCTGCCTCTTGGCCACCTTCTCTCCTGCTTCAGCTTCAGCCTCTGATTCCGGACTGCTCTCTACCACAGACTCTCCCAGCTCACTAAGCCCTGTTGCCTCTGCAGCTTCTGTTACCTCCTCCTCCTCCTAGTCTGTTCCCTCTTCTCCCTTTGACCACTCATTGTCCCACCACCAACCCCCAAGCTGTGAGAGCACTGAGAGCCAGGCAGAGATACCTGGAGGGGTCCAGAGGCTCCCCCACTCCCGTTCCACTGCCTCCCTCCTCCGACTGCTCACCTCTCTTCAGAAGGCTGGCCCGATAGCGCCCCTCGAGGGTGCAGTTCCACCGCTCAAAGCGGAACTGGTACTGGCACTCAAGGGCGCTCATACTGATGGCCTCCATGAGGGTCTCGGCCACACCGGGATCTCGCCGGCACATCCTCCGCTGCTTCTTCTCCAGTTTCAGGCGGTCACAGACTTTGTAATGGGCCTTGACGGCAGCTTCCTCCATTTCTGAAGTCAGAGGGAGGATGGTCAGGGGTTCATTCCCAGTCAACCTTTGGGGAAGAGAAGAAGGCGACCCATGTCAGTGATCTTGAGGCTCAGACACAACACGGCCTCAAGCAACGACCTGCCATCATGTACGCCATATCCGTGAATGCCAAGGGGTGCATAATATCATTTCCAATGTCCAAGGTGTGTGTGTGCCATTCCTTAAATAGCCTTAACAGCACCATCCATGCATAAAGAGGAAGGCAGCAGCAGGCTTATGGAAACTCAGAAGTTTGAGTAAAAATGAACCAAACCCTTGGGAAAACGGGTTTTAAAAAACCCAGTAAAAAATAATAATAATTTATTATTTATACCCCGCCCATCTGGCTAGGTTTCCCCAGCCACTCTGGGCGGCTTCCAACAGAACACAACAGAATGCAATAAAGAAGAGAAGTCAAAATGAGAAGATAGATAAAATTTTGGAGAAAATAAAAGAAAGTGAGAAGAAACTGAGAGCAAAACCAAAGTCGCAGGAGATTTTGAGAGAAATAAAATTATATCAAGTACAATATATGGAAATGATAAATCAGGAAATAGAATGGAAAATTAAACAAATGAGACAAAAAAACATTTGAATCAGCTAATAAATGTGGGAAATTGCTGGCCTGGCAAATGAAAAAAAGACAAAAATTAAATACTATCACAAACTTAGAAGTGGAAGGAAAGAATGTACATAACCCAATTGAGATTAGAAACTGTTTCCAGAGGTACTTTAAACAATTATACACACAAGGGCCACAGAAAGAAATGGACATAGACAAATTTTTGAAGACAAATGGACTACAAAAAATCTCCCAAGAAAGCAAATTAATGTTGAACTATAGAATATCTGAACAGGAAGTAGAAGGTGCCATTCAAAATATGCAATTGGGCAAATCTCCAGGACCGGATGGGCTGACTTCTAGATATTATAGATCTTTGAAAGAGTGGCTATTACAACCTTTGAAGGAAGTCTGTAATGAAATATTGGAAGGGAAAAGGGCACAGAAGTCGTGGAAAGAGGCGTACATTACACTTATACCGAAAACAGAGACTGAAAAGAGTCAGCTTAAGAACTACCGCCCTATATCGTTACTTAATGTGGATTACAAAATTTTTGCAGACATTCTGGCCAAGAGATTGAAAAAAGTATTGATGGAAGAGATCCATAAAGACCAAGCGGGCTTTCTCCCAGGAAGACACTTGTCTGATAATTTGAGATATATAATTGATATTTTGGAAAAACTAGAAGTGAATATAAATACTAAAGCAGTTCTGATATTTGTGGATGCGGAGAAAGCCTTTGACAACATCTCTTGGAGCTTCATGAAGAAGAACCTACAGGGGATGGGGGTAGGCCAAGGTTTTGAAAATGGTATAGGTGCAATATACTCTGAACAAAAGGCTAAATTAATTGTAAATAAGGTGGTGACGGAAGAATTTAAGATAGAAAAAGGGACACAACAGGGATGCCCAATCTCCCCACTGCTTTTTATATCGGTCCTGGAGGTTCTGCTGAATATGATTAGAAGGGACTGGTTGGTCAAAGGTATACAGGTCGGAGCCAAACAGTACAAACTGAGAGCATTTGCAGATGACTTAGTATTGACGTTACAGGAGCCAGAATCTAGTACTAAAAGGGTTTTAGAACTAATTCAAGAATTTGGTCAACTGGCAGGATTTAAACTGAACAAGTTAAAAACTAAGGTTTTAGAGAAAAATTTAACACCGATTGAAAGAGAGAGGTTTCAGAATGAGACAGGCCTGACTGTGGTTAAGAAAGTGAAATACCTGGGGATTAATATGACAGCCAAAAATGGGAACTTATTTAAAGATAATTATGAAAAATGTTGGACGGAAGTGAAAAAAGATTTAGAAATCTGGTCAAATTTGAAGCTTTCACTGTTGGGTCGTATTGCTGTGATAAAAATGAATGTATTGCCTAGAATGCTGTTTTTGTTTCAAACATTGCAAATTGTGGACAAGATGGATTGTTTCAAGAAGTGGCAGAGAGATATTTCTAGATTTGTCTGGCAGGGCAAGAAGCCTAGAATAAAATTTAAGATATTAACTGATGCAAAGGAAAGGGGTGGATTTGCCCTGCCAGACTTTAAACTTTACTATGAATCAGCAGCTTTTTGCTGGTTGAAAGAATGGCTACTTCTTGAAAACACAGACATTTTGGACTTAGAAGGTTTTAACAATGTATTTGGATGGCATGCATATCTGTGGTATGACAAGGTCAAAGCGCATAAAGCATTTAAAAACCATATTGTCAGGAAAGCACTGATTAATGTTTGGATAAGATACAAGGATTTATTGGAAAACAAAACCCCAAGGTGGCTGTCACCGATGGAAGCGAAAGCTCTGAAAAGGCTCAATATGGAGGCCAATTGGCCGAAATATTGGGAAATTTTGGAACAAGATGGAGATAGATTGAAACTGCAGAGTTTTGAGAAACTAAAAAATAAAGTGCGAGACTGGCTTCATTATTATCAGATAATGGAGGCATATAATTTGGACAAGAAAATTGGCTTCCAGGTGGAAAAATCAAAATCAGAAACAGAACTGTTAGAACCCAAAACTAAGATTTTGTCAAGAATGTATAACTTGCTGTTGAAATGGAATACTCAGGATGAAACGGTGAAATCTGCTATGATTAAATGGGCACAAGATGTTGGACATAATATTATGTTTGCTGACTGGGAACAGTTATGGACCACAGGTATGAAGTTTACGGCATGTAATGTCCTAAGAGAATATTATGAAAATGATATACAGGTGGTACATGACCCCAGTCAAGCTTGCAAAAATCTATCATTTGCCCGACAATAAATGCTGGAAATGTAAAGAAACTGAAGGTACATTCTTTCACCTTTGGTGGACGTGCCCAAGGATTAAGGCCTTCTGGGAAATGATATATAATGAACTGAAAAAGGTATTTAAATATACCTTCTTGAAGAAACCAGAGGCCTTTCTCCTAGGCATAGTCGGCCAATTGGTGCCAAAGAAGGACAGAACTTTTTTTATGTATGCCACAACAGCAGCAAGAATACTCATTGCAAAGTACTGGAAGACACAAGATTTACCCACTGTGGAAGAATGGCAGATGAAGTTGATGGACTATATGGAACTGGCAGAAATGACTGGCAGAATCCGAGACCAGGGAGAAGAGTCGGTGGAAGAAGATTGGAAGAAATTCAAAGATTATCTACAGAAATATTGTAAAATTAATGAATGTTAGAATGATGTTGGATAGTAATTAAGTGGTTTCCAGCTGTAATGCTTTAAGGGAATATGAAAAAAAGGGTTATAAATAGGTAAAAATTTAATATTATTACCTTTAAAGGATTTGCTGAACCAACAGAATGAAGTGGAATACAAAAAAGGGAGGTATGAGGAGGTCCGGGAAAATAAGTCAAAGGAAAATAAGTAATGGAGAATCTCTGTGTTTTTAACTATTTTTATTTTGTATTTTTGCCATTTCTTTTTTCTTTCTCTTTTTTTTCTTTTCTCATTTTCATTGTAATATTTTAAAAAATCTTAATAAATATCTTATATTAAAAAAAAAACCAGAACACTAAAATACAATAACCTATTAAACATTAAAAGCTTCCCTAAACAGGGCTGCCTTCAGATGTCTTCTGAAAGTTTGGTAGTTGTTTTTCTCTTTGACATCTGGTGGGAGGGCATTCCACAGGGCGGGTGCCACCACCGAGAAGGCCCTCTGCCTGGTTCCCTGTAACTTGGCTTCTCTCAGTGAGGGAACCGCCAGAAGGCCCTGGCGCTGGACCTCAGTGTCCGGGCAGAACGAGTGAGGACTAAGCATCCTTAGCAGGGATGAAAAACCTGATACAAAGGGAGAAGATTAGGGAATGGATCAGAGTGGTTGGACTATTGAATAGCAGCACTCCACACAACAAGAGTTTTGCTGCAACTTTAACGTAACTAAGGTTTTGCATGGCGTGCCGCATTTTCAAAACCAACCTCGTTCAAAATTAAAAGCTGGATTTCAAGCTTGCATGCCCCTTCTTGCAGTGAAGTCCCAATTGCCCAGTATGAAAGGTCTGCTTCAGCCTTCCCCAAGCTGGTGACCACCCCCACTCCAGAGGTAGTTGGCCATAACATCCCTGGACGTGGGCTGCACTTGCTGGGGCTGATGGGAAATGTAGCAGAAAACATCTGGAGTGAAGCAAGTTGGGTGGTGGGAGAAGCCTGACGAAGCCTCAAACTCATAGTCAAATGCAAGGGTTTAAGACAGTGGTTCCCAAAGGGGACAGTATTATCCCCTGGGGGAGTGGTGAGATTACCTGGGGGCACTGGAAATGCACATGACCATCAGACTTCGAAAAGCTGGTACCACTGATTAAGTTCCATTTTGTCAACTCAATTAAACTAAGTAGCTATAATTAGATTTAATAGATGAGCAATTCCCTGTTACTGTTTTGCATTTTATTTATCTTCCTTAGTAAGTCGTGTAAGTTGCTATTATGAACAATGCTCTTTATAGGGTAGAGGGATGAGTTCATGGAACCAAGGGGGCAGTGGCCACAAAAAGATTGGGAAACACTGGTTTTTAAGCTCGCAGTGGCCACAAAAAGATTGGGAAACACTGGTTTTTAAGCTCTCTAAAGCAGGAAGTGCTAAGGAGCCACACATACTGTTATGTACTGAGTTGAAGAGGATCCAAAATGCAGCAGTCTGATTGGTCCTAGAACAATAGGACCCAAAATGCAGCAGTCTGATTGGTCCTAGAACAATAGGACCCAAAATGCAGCAGTCTGATTGATCCTAGAACAATAGGATTCAGAATGCAGCAGTCTGATTGGTCCTAGAACAATAGGATTCAGAATGCAGCAGTCTGATTGGTCCTAGAACAATAGGATTCAGAATGCAGCAGTCTGATTGGTCCTAGAACAATAGGATTCAGAATGCAGCAGTCTGATTGGTCCTAGAACAATAGGACCCAAAATGCAGCAG